AAATAATAATAAATTCAATGATGAAAAATAATAGATAAATATATTTACTTGTTTGAAATTACAAGCTGGTGCTGCTTCACTATTTGTTTCAATTAGATATGAATCCCAATCATGTTCTAAATTAGAATTATTGAGAATTGTATGTTACAAAAAAAAACTCTTTTTTACCATCATCTTCTGGTGACGCATCTGGAGTTAGAGACATTTTTATTGAGTAAAAAGTTATTAATGATGAAGCATTTTAAATATAAATTTATTGGAAAACTTCCTTTTCTTTTTCTTCCTCAATTCATTGACAAGAGAGAGAAGAAGGAAGAAATGAGTAATAACAATGTAGAAAGTAAACCAATGATTAGTTAGACTAAGATAGATGGCATTGTAGAGAAAATTTGACAGTTGTACTTGTGTGCAAATATCATAATACATTCAAGGCTATTAATAATCTAAATGAATGATTTTAAAGTTTTTTTTATTCTATAGTTCCGGTTCCGGCTCGGTACTGTTTAGTTTAGAATTATTAATCTCTATATAAGTAGAGGGCGCTGTATTTATTTAAATTTTATTTTTTATTTTTTCGAAATATTTTCTCATTTTAATTTTTCTAAAAATAAAAAATCTTAATTTATTTTCAAGAAAAATTTGAATTTTAAATTAGAGGCTGTCTTGTCACAATCATGCATGATAAAAATAATAATAATTTATTGTTTATTTGTTGTCATGCATGATTCATATGGTTGATTCCCTTTTTCCTTCTTTCATCATTACTCGTGATATATATATATATTGTGATACACATCAACATCATTGTATTTTTATTATAGATTGTAAAACGTCGTCGTGTCCGGTTATTCTAAATTCTTCTTCCCATCATCGTCATCATTTTTTCGTCGTGTTCAACGATTGCTTCTATCGTCGTCTTTTTGATCGTCATCTCATCATCATTGCCATCGATAGTTCAACAAACATTCGTTCACGTGTTTTGTTTTTTTCTTAATTATTTCGAAAAAAAAAGAAGTTCGTTTTTGTTTTTCTAACTCTCTGCTAGTTTTGCTTTCTCATCTTACAACAATTAAGAAAAAAAATAAACGTCTTGTATCAGTTTTATTTGTGTATTATTGTATCTTCTAATTGTCTATTGAAAAAATCATGTCGATTATTCGATATCGATTTAAAGCAGACAAAAATTTTGAATCAGTAAAAATTGATGGAATGAATTGTTCTCTTGGAGAACTTAAACGTTTAATTGCGGCAAAATCATCACGTTCAGCATCATATCATCCCAAGGATGATTATGATTTAATTATTAGCAATGCAAATACACATGAAGGTTGGATATATTATTTAAATATTAAATTTATTTTGTTTCTTTTTTTTCTTGTCTATTTAGAATACAAAGATAATTCAGATTTAATACCTCGAAATGCAAGTGTCATCGTAGCTCGACGTATACGTGGCATATTTGATACATTAACACCAACATCAAATCAGAAACCTGTTGTTTCATCTGATGATATTGTTAAAGAGTAAGATTATTTATCATTTTTGAAGAAATTATGTATGTTTTTTTTGTTATAGTATCCTTTTACCTGCGATGTTGAATCAAAATCAAAGTTCGTCAAATACATCATCATCATCAGTCATTGAAACAAATGCGATTCCATTAGAAAAGTTGACTGAGGTATATTAGATACACAAAATAAAGATGTTTAATAATTTTTTCGAATATTTTAGTCGACAAGTAATGGTCCGGTGAAAGAAATGACTGAAGATGAATTAATTAAAGAAATTCAATTAGGTTCTCATGCTCGTTATGTGTAAGTTATTTGTTAATGAAATAAGAAATTTTAATTAAAAACAAAATATATATTTTTTTAATTAAATAGAACAAATCAACAACCATATCGTACGAATTTATTTGTTTGTCATCATTGTAAACAACCTGGTCATATAAAAAATCAATGTCCTTCATTGCTGGTAGGTTCTTCATTCGATATGAAGATCAGTTATAATCAACGTCAATCTTTATTTTCATCTCTACCTTTTTGTATATCACATAATTTTATCAGTAATAATAAAGATATTATCAGTCATTGTGATATAAATACTTATCCTTTTCTATCTAATAATAATCATAATAATAAACTTTCTGTTCAAGCTTTTATTTCATTTTTTTTTATCTTCAGCAGTCATCAAATTCAAATTCATCTGGTAATTCATCAAATTCACAATCATCATCTGCTAATGATGGAACACAAGGGACAAATTCAGGTCCAATTCGACCAAATCTACCACATTCATCTCATATTGTTACACGTCATGCCCCATATCAAATGTCTTATCATCATCGTGGAAATCGTTCACATCGTGGAGCAGGACATCCACGTGGTGAACCATTACCAAAAAAGACAACAGGTATACCACGTGATCGTCTTATTCCAGTTCCAAAACATATACCTGGTGCATTAAGAGATCAAAGTGGTGCTTCCGTTGTACCAAGACAAATGGCGTAAGTTTAAACATCACTATTAAAGATATATTTTTGTTTTTTTCTATAGTGAATTATACATTGAACGAAGTGAAAAGAAAGCCGATGCATTGGCACAAATATCTCGACAAAATGATGAAAAAGGTGTTTCATTATCAATTCCATCTTCATCAAAAACAACTGATGAAGATCTTCCACCTAATGATCTTCTTTGTCCTTTATGTAAACGAGTTTATACTGATGCTGTTATCACACCTTGTTGTAATCTTAGTTTTTGTGATGAATGTAAGATAAATAAATATTTTTCAAAAAATGTTCATAATTGTTTTTGGGTTTTTTTTTCTATTTTATTTAAAAAGGTATTCGTACAGCTTTAATTGAAAGTTCTGAGCATGAATGTCCGTCTTGTCATTGTCAACATGTCGCTATTGATCAGATCAATCCTAATTTATATTTACGAAATCATATTAAACGTTGGCATGAACGACAAAATCAATCATCTTATTCACACCCATCTGCACCACAACAAACATTAGATCAAGATTCGGAAACAACATCAACAAATACTTCAAATCTAAATGAAATTGATGAATTTGATACAGCTATTCTTTCAACAAATTCACATCAACATGTAACATCAGTTAAATCAGCACCAATTATTATTAAAATGCAACCACGTGGAAAAAGTCAATCACCACCACCTCTTGTTTCAACTCGACCAGCTGATATGACATTTGAAGATGAAAAAACATCCGATTCAAATCATATAACATCTAGGTTTGTTTATTTTGTTTTTCAATAAACTATAAATAATTATAATCATTATTAAATTAATTTTAGTCAAAAAGATATGAATACAAATGAAGAAATAACAGATACATTACCATCAACAATTACGAATACTCCTATTGAAAGTAAGTTAGATATTTTCTTTTCTTATTGATAATTTAATTTCGATTTGATTTAGATGAACGACTAGAACGTGAAACTCCTCCATCTCAAATTGCACCTCCAAATATAATTTATACTTCTCCATCACCTTCAACAACTATTGCACCAACAGCTGCTGTTGTTCCTCATTATTATCCAACTCCTCCACAGCATCATAATATAATCTATCCTCATCACATTCCTCCAGCAACATCCAATGGTCTCTATCAAATTCAACCGTAAGTTTATTATAAATTATAAATATTATTAAAAATAAATTTTCATCCTTTTTAGAAATTATTATCCACCTCCAATGGGTGTTCGTTATCCTCCTGCTGGAATACATCATTATCCACCATATGCACCACCTCCACCCGTTCATCATCATCCTATTCCTCCTCCTCGTCCAATTATTCCACCTCCACATATTCCAACAAATGGTTATAATATGCCCGGTTTTCATCCTCATACAAATGTACCATTTACATCCACATCAACATTTATTACTCATCATCAAACAGCTACACAACCAATATCAACAGCTTTATCCGAAGATGAATTTTATACAAAACAACGTTATTTTCAACGATTGTAAAACTATTTTTTCTTATTAATTTAATTTAATTTTAATTTTTTTGAATTTTAGTCAACGATCACCTAGTCGTCGTCGTTCACGTTCTTCATCTTATTCTTCATATTCAAGCAGGTAAAATAAATCTTTATTTATTAAATTAGACAAAAAAAACAAAATTAATTTAATTTTTGTTATAGTGATTCTCGTAGTTCATCACGTTCACGTTATGATAGTCGTCGTCGTCGATCGTCTCGTAGTCGTAGTCATCGACGAATAAAAAAATCACCAAGTCGAGAGAATCGTCGACAACGACGATCATCATCTTATCAAAGTCGTCGACGACCACCAGTTGATATCAAAGATAAATATTCTTCATCATCATCATCAAAATATCGAAGGTAAAAATTATTCTAAGTAAATTAACTATAAATTAATATTTACTATTAAATAGATCACCTCCTCGACCATCTCGAAATAATCATGAACGACGTCGTTCACCTCGTCCACCACCAACTGTTCAACAATCTACACAACGTACAATTGTCTATATGCAAGAATCTTCACATTCCAGGTAAGCAAAAAACGAAAAAGAATTTCTCCATTTTAATCATTATGTTTTTAGTCGAGATCGTCGTCGAACAAAAAGTCGTTCACGTGGAAATGATGATCGTATTACTTCATCATCATCATCAAAAAAAGAACAACAACAACAACAATCACAATCAGAATCAATACCTTCGTCTTCTTCTCCTTCGACAACAACAATGCCAACTACACTTTCATCAAAAATCGAAACAGTAGTAGAAGGAATGCCTGACAAAAATCAAGAAGATAGTTCAAAAAATGGTAAAAAACATAAGAAACATCATAAAAAACATCGACATTCAAGTTCAAAAAGCAAAAAACGTCATCGAAGTAAAGACAAAGACAAGAAGACAATAGTCGACGCACCATCATCATCTGTTATTGAAGCACAATCATAAAATTTACTTCTGTTTTCTGATGTTATATATATATATATATTATATCGAAAGAATTTTTTCATGTATTTGTTAGTTTCTTTTTTTTTTGTTTTCGACAGAAAAATAAAATTTATTGATGAAACACTAAAATAGAATGTCTTTTTTTTCCTTCTGCACATATCTACTGTTTGCCATCATAGTTATATAATATCTTCATTATTTGACATTGAAAGAAAGAGAACGAATGCATAGTCATTTTTAAGGTGAGAAAGTGTAAAACTATTCAATGACAGTAGGTGAAACATTTCGAATTGCTATAATTGGTAAGATAGATTTGAGATTTGATTGATAATTGATTTTTGTTAGGTGGAGGTCCAGCAGGACTTTCATTAGCTATTGGTTTGAAACGAAAAGGATTTCAAAATTTGATTATCTATGAGCGAGAAATAGATAATCAAGGACGACATCAAGGTTGGTCTATTTCATTGTTTTCTCCTGATGGTGGTTTGGCATTTATTGAATATCTTGGTCTTTTACCTGAATTATCAGCTATTTCTTTTCAACCTAGCTTTCGTGCATTAGATGGTGAAACAGGTTTACTCTTTTGACTTTGTATATTCATTGAATTATTTAATAAATTATAGGTAAAACACTTCTTTACAGAGCTGGAAATGAGAATGGTAGACGATTCAAACGAGGTGATCTACGAGATGCACTCTATCAAGTTTGTTTAAGAGAAGGTACATCTTTTATTTTCAGACAATACAAATGTTTGATATTTAAAAACGAATAGAATTATTTCAGGCATCAAAATAATATGGGATGCACAAGTAAAATCTTTTGAAGAAATCAATGAGAAAGTTTATATACATTTTATTGATGAAACAAAACATCAAACTGATATAGTAGATCTTCTTATTGGTGCTGATGGTGTTCATTCTCCTATAAGAAAACAATTGACTGGTGATGTAGTTCGTTCTGCTGGTTTTAATTCTATTGTTGGTTTAATAAAAAAAGAAGCAGACGGAAGTAATAATGATCTATTTGAACATGAACTTATTCAAAATTCAGGTGTTTTAGCTTCTGGTCGAAATGGTAAAATAAAATATAATTTTTAAAATGATAAATAATATAACAATTTTACTTCCTAGTTAGTTGTTGGTATGCCCATCATGTTCTTCATGATGAAATCTATTGGTCATTAAGTATTCAATCAGACGAAGATTTTATTCGTCAACATACAAATTATGACAAGAAAAAACTTCATGATTTAGCATTAGAATATTCTAAAAAATTCTTTCCATTAATTCAACTATTAGTTCAAAGAACTCCAATTGATCAAATGCAAGATTGTTTACTTTTTAAAGATCTTGATCCTATGAAACAACATAGTTCAGGAAGATATTGGTAAGTTAATGAATATAATTAATAAGAAATAATTATTGATTTTTAGTGTTTCAAAAAGTGGAAGAATTACATTAATTGGTGATGCTGCTCATGCTATGATTCCTTTTCGAGGACAAGGTATATTGTATTTTTTTTTTCATTCATTAATATTTTTAATTATATTAACAGGTGGAAATACAGCGTTGATAGGTGCATGGAATTTATCTGATAAACTAGGAACACTTGTAAATCAAACAAATATAACAAATGATGAAATTGGAGAAGTTCTTTTACGTTATGAAAATGAACGAATTCCAGTGGGTTCGCATGAAATTCTTGAATCACGTGAGAATGCAGCAAGATTTCATTCATCAAATTCAGTCACTAACTTTTTTCGAAATACTATTATGCGAATGATTAATCTTAAAATTCAGTTTGATGACTGGTTTTATAAACAATCTTAAAAACATCTTTTATATTTTTAATTGTATCCTTTTCTATTTTCATATGATTTCTATTCATAATAACGTTTAGAAGTTCAATTTCAATAATTTGTACTCAATGACTTTTAAAACAGAAGAAAAATCGAAAGGGGTATGAAAGTTGCGCCCCTGTTATATATAGAACAAGAAAAAACAATAGACGCCATAAAAAAATCGCGAATGTTACCTCCATAATTGCGTGCATTGTGCTGATTTTTTTTTACTGTCTATTTCTATTCATATAAAACGTGCAGAACAATCGTGAAATATAATTGCGTCGTGTGTGTAAGCATATCATTTCTACTTTTGTTTTATTCGTATTTATTGACGTGAGAAAATAATTCTTTCGCTTATCAATATAATCTTAGATATTATGGCTCAATCTCGCAAACAATTCGTTGAACAATTTATTGATACTCTCACAAATCCTAAAACCAATGATCTTAAACGTTTTCTAGAAGAAGATGTACAAAAAACTGTGAATTCAAAAGTTGTTTACAGCAACATTGAAGAAGCTAAAGAATATTACACTAAAGAACAAGATGGTAAAACAACATCTCAATGGACAATTGTTGAATGTGAACCAGAAGATCCTAACACAAATACATTACGTCTTAGAATTTCTCATGGTAATAAAACATCTGATACTTTATATACATTCAGTTCAAATGATAAAGTTCAGCGAATTGATGCTGTTAACTAAAATGAATATTATTGAATTAATGACAACAAAAAAACATTTAAATTAATTTATTTCAGCTAGTTTTTCTTTTTTCAATAAATATCTAATGTCATTCTTTTCTATTCAATAAACAAGATATTCAATATCATTTTTTGAACAACAGTAAATTCCATACATCATTTTATTCTGTTGATTGATCTCAACGAAAACAAGTAGCACAATATATGTTTTGAGTTATTCACTCAATAAGACATTTGGTTTAGAATTTATCATACAAGTCTATACTAATTGTTTTTATTGTTTATCTACTTCATTTACTTATTATTACTCAATTAATTCTAACATCTGTAATCCTTTATTTACTGATCTCTTCCACATGTAAACTGTCAATTATAAATAACAAGTTCCACTATTGATAAAACTAAATATTTACCTCGATATTCAACTGAATCGATTTATTACAATTGCTGTTTTATGCAAATCTCTATAGTACTGTATTTGCCTAGATGAAATATATTGTTAGTTCTGATTGCTTTCAATTTATGAGTATTCAAAATAAATTCTATAGTTAGTTTCCATGGAGTTGTATCTTATGAATAATTTTGATTCAATGAAACAAATGTGAAAAAGAACCCGAGTACTTTCAGAATTACGAAGTAACATTGACTCATTCAATTTCATATTTCTGAATAAATCCATGCGGAAAGAATTCAATTAATTTCTTTGTTTTAATTTGACAAGGGTATTATTAAATTAATGCCAATAGGAAAAAGAGAGCAATTTGATAGGAAACAATGTTTTTTGACAATTAGCGTCCTCTATATTATTTTTATATATGATTGGTTGATAACATATTAACATAGATTAAATGATGATTAAAAAAACTGTTGAATGGTCGATCAATTTGTGTACTTCAGCGAACAGACAGATGATCTTTTGTTCTCTTTCCTCTTTTTGAGTATTTTGCGTGGGTTGACTATTCAACAGTATGAGAATGTATAATTACTTATTTAGTTTGTAGATAATGCGGTGACTCAAATAAAGACAAAAATCAATATGGGTTGTTGGTTTTCAAAAGAAAATGTGTCACAACCATCCGCAGAACTAAACGATATTCATTTACAAATAACAAATAAATCAAAAGACGGTCCAATTTCTTCCGAAAATCAGATTAATAAATCACATGCCAATGGTTTGTTTGCTTTTTTATTATTGTTGTTGTTTTTTTTCAATTGTTTTTTTATATAAATAAATAGGTGTTGATAAGATTCGCCAAAAAAATCAGTTTGGGTCTGAAAAAGTTTTCGTCGCGATATATGATTATGATGCACGTACAGATGAAGATCTAACATTTCGAGTTCATGATTTACTTATTGTTCTTGATGACAGGTTAGTTTAACTTTATTATTATTAATTTTATATCTTTATTATTTTATTTTTTTTCAGCCAGGATGGTTGGTGGTTAGCTAAACATTATACAAATGGTTTAAAAGGTTACATTCCAGCCACTTATGTTGCTGCACATGGTGGTCTTGCTGTTAATGAGTAAAGTTTTATGTTTATTATCTATTGTTAAAATTACAATTATATTTACTTTGTTTAGATGGTTTCATAATAATGTTCTTCGGAAAGAAGCTGAACGTTTACTATTAATTCCATCAAATCCCCGTGGAACATTTCTTGTTAGAAATTCAGAAAATGCTCCTGGTAACTTCTTTCTTTTCTTCATATAAATGTAAATATTTTATTTTGTTGTTTTTCTCTTTTTAAGGTCCTTATTCCTTATCAGTTCGTGATGTAGATGAACAACGTGGTCCACATGTAAAACATTATAAAATTCGTTTTCCTGATGAAAAAATCGGTTATTATATTGCTACACGTCGTGCATTCAAATCATTAGAAGATCTAATTGATTATTATAGAAGTAAAGTATTTCTAAGTATTCGTTGACTATTTTTTTTTGTTTGATTTTATTAGAAAATTCTGACGGTCTATGTTGTCAATTATCACTTCCATGTCCAAGACCAAAACCAACAACATCAACAATATCAAAAGATGTTTGGGAAGTACCAAGAAATTCACTTCAATTCATTAAAAAACTTGGTCAAGGAATGTTTGGTAAGATTATTTGTTTGTTTATTTACTTATGTATTTTAAATTATATTTATTTTAGGTGAAGTATGGGCTGGTAAATGGAATAATAAAATTGATGTTGCCATAAAAACGATGAAAGCTGGAACAATGTCAACACAAGCTTTTGTTGATGAAGCAAATATTATGAAAAAATTACGTCATGATAAACTTGTACAATTATATGCTGTTTGTACAGAACCAGAAGATCAACCCATTTATATTGTAACTGAATTAATGGGCAATGGCAGTTTATTAGATTTTCTTCGAGATGGCTCTGGTCGTGAACTTAAATTACCTGCACTTGTTGATATGGCTGCACAGGTTGGAACATTTTTATAATAGAAAAATATCATAGATGATTTTTATACTTTTTAATGTAGGTCGCTTTTGGTATGGCTTATTTGGAACATGAACATTATGTATGATGATTGATTATATATGTTTTAATATTCATTTATATAATATGTTTTTTGTTCAATTAGATCCATCGAGATTTAGCAGCTCGAAATGTACTTGTTGGAGAAAATGGCGTTGTTAAAATTGCTGATTTTGGTTTGGCTCGTATTATTAATGAAGATCAATATGTTGCTAAAGCTGGTTAGTTTTCATAGATATAAAATTTTCAATATTTTCTTTTTTTTCTTTTTAGGCGCGAAATTTCCAATAAAATGGACTGCTCCTGAAGCAGCTATCTATGGAAAATTTACAATAAAATCTGATGTATGGTCATACGGTATATTACTCTATGAACTCGTAACACATGGTCAAGTGCCATATCCTGGTATGGCTAACCGTGAAGTTCTTGAACAAATTCAACGTGGCTATAGAATGCCTCGTCATGAAAATTGCCCTGAAAAAATCTATGATTATATGTTACGTTGTTGGGATTCTTCACCTGATAATCGTCCAACATTTGAAGTATATTTATTGATTTATATTATACATATTTCTATATATATATTTTCTTTTATTTAGCATTTACACTTATTCTTTGATGATTATACGGCTTCAGCTGGTCCTCAATATCATAGCCAGAATTAATCTTATACTAATTTTTTTTTTCGAGTTTCTTTTTCTTTTCTCAGGATGCTTTTTTTCTTTGTTGCTTCCGCTACTAAGAATGATGCTGTAGAAATCAACAAGTGACTGTCTTATACAGATATTTTATATCAATTAGAATTCGAATGTATATTTGCGCAATGTACCTCTAAGTTCTCCTTCTTATATTAGCCAGATATATGTTTAATAACAAAAAAAAGCTTACTCATGACACAAACTTATGAAAATAAAATTTCGTGCTTTTTTTTTATTGTCCGTTGTCTAAATGTATAAATGAGTGATTTATTATTGTTGTTTTTTTCGGAAGAACAAAAATAAATTTGGTAAATGATAATATTTCGTGTTGTTTTGTTTTCAGATGGCCACGACACCGATAACAAAAGAAAAAGTTCATAAGGCTAAAATGTCTATTGAAAATTTTTATGCCAATTTAATTAATCAATATGAAGAACGAGAAGAAAGGTAATTTTATTTGATTAATTATATAAATAATTTATCAAGATTTTCTAAATAGATATCGACGATTAGAAGAAATGATGACTGCTGAAGGTTTATCAGAACAAGAAGTAAATTTTGTTTTTTTGAAATATTAATTTACGATTGATTATTGTGTTTTAGAAACTTGAAAAACGTCATTTACATGCAGGAAAAGAAACGGAATATTTACGTTTAAAACGTGTTAAAATGAGTGCAGATGATTTTGAACCATTAAAAGTTATTGGACGTGGTGCATTTGGAGAAGTAAATTATTACTTTATGTTTTAAAATTACAATAATTTTCTAATCTAAAAACTAAGGTTCGTCTTGTACAAAAACGTGATACAGGTCATATATATGCAATGAAAATTTTACGTAAAGAAGATATGTTATTACGTGAACAAGTCGCACATGTACGCGCTGAACGTGATGTACTTGTTGAAGCTGATCATACATGGACTGTGAAAATGTTTTATTCATTTCAAGATGCAAGAAATTTATATTTAATTATGGAATTTCTTCCTGGAGGTTTGTTCGTCAAATTGAAATTGTATTTGTTGTATAATTATTTGTTTAGGTGATTTAATGACATTATTAATTCATAAAGAAATATTCAGTGAAGATATGACACAATTTTACGTTGCAGAAACAGCAGAAGCAATAGAATCTATTCATCGACTTGGATTTATTCATAGAGATATAAAACCAGATAATCTTTTACTTGATGCTAAAGTAAATTTTATATGATTTGTAATTTAAAAAGACAAAAACAAAAGAAATATATTATTTTAGGGTCATATAAAACTTTCAGATTTTGGTTTATGTACAGGCTTAAAGAAAGCGCATCGAACGGAATTTTATCGTGATATTCAAAGCATGCGTCCACAAGATTTCAGTAATAACATATTTCTATTATTATTTGAATTGCTAAATTTGTTTTTAAACTTTTTTAGCTGCTACTTCCGTTGATTCGAAACGACGTGCAGAAACATGGAAGAGAAATCGTCGTGCTTTAGTGAGATTCTATTTTCTTAAATAAATATTTATATTTTTTGTTCATAATTAAGGCTTATTCGACAGTTGGTACACCAGATTATATTGCACCAGAAGTATTTAAACAATGTGGTTATAATCATGTAAATTATTTATTATTTTCTATTGATAAAATAAATGAAATTCGTTTATGTTTAGAATGCAGATTGGTGGTCATTAGGTGTTATAATGTATGAAATGTTAATTGGTTATCCACCATTTTGTGCTGAAAATCCTCAAGAAACATTTCGTAAAGTAATGAATTATCGTGAAACACTTGTTTTTCCGCCTGAAATACCCATATCAAATATTGCTAAAGATCTTATTCTTAGGTATAATATTATTTATTTGCCTTATGAAATAAAATATTTAATAAATTAATTTATGTAGATTTTGTACGGATTCTGATCGACGTTTAGGTTCATTAGAAGAGATTCGAAGTCATTCATTTTTTATGGGTGTTGATTGGGAACATATACGAGATCGACCAGCTGCTTATCAACCACGTGTTCGATCCATTGATGATACATCAAATTTTGATGATTTTCCTGATGTTGATCTTAAATTACGTATGTTAATTTCTTCGAATTTTATCTATTGTGAATTTATCCTCGTTTTTTTATATCTAGCATCACCTGCAAAAGACAATGAAGTTCAAGTTCATGATTGGCTCTTTATTAATTATACATATAAACGTTTTGATGGTTTAACAGCTAAACCAAAATTAAAAATGTCAGCAACATCAACAAACTGATATGAAAATATTGAAATAGATCTGATCCATTTTTAATGAACAGTTTCGTTTAGTGACAAAAATTTCTACAAAATATAAACATCCAAACCCGTTGTTATTTTTTGTTTTCTTGTTTGTTTTGTGTATATAAATAGAGCATGAATAAAAACTTATTTGTTAGATGTCTTTTTCTTTGGGAGATTAATAATAAAATATTTCATAATTTTTCTTTTTTTGCATTTCCTCATGAGTCTATGTAATTACGTAAGAATTGTTTTTTTATATATTTCTCCTTTTATGTAGACATGTCAGAAGAACAACGTTTAGAAACATTATACATGGATAGTGATAGTGAAAGTTATGATGATGAGATTAATTATGATACTTTAAAACAAGCAGGTGAAAGTAATAATGGAACAGCTCAACATTCAATGAAACATTTTCAACCAGCAAATAAAACTTTATCGAAGTATGTTGACAATAATAAAAAAATAAGAATAACAACAATATATTTTTAAGATATGTTGATAAAATTGATGTAAATCCATATTCACCTCGTAGTGGTCATGTAGATGATGGAAAATATCGTTCAAAAGATAAACATGATCGTGCTACTGTTGAACAAGTTCTTGATCCACGTACACGTTTAATTTTATTTAAATTTCTTCAACAAGGTTTACTTGAAGAAGTTAATGGATGTATATCAACAGGAAAAGAAGCAAATGTTTATTATGCAAAAACAAATACTAATGAACATCGTGCCATTAAAGTTTACAAAACATCAATACTTGTTTTTAAAGATCGTGATAGATATGTTACAGGTGAATATCGTTTTCGACATGGATATTCAAGACATAATCCAAGAAAAATGGTTCGATTATGGGCAGAAAAAGAATATAGAAATTTATCACGTTTACAAGCAAATGGAATACCATGTCCAAAACCTATTGCACTTAAAAATCATGTTCTAGTTATGGAATTTATTGGTAAGATTTTATATAATGAAAAATTTAAGTCAAGAGATTTTATTGAAGCTTATAAGATGTGTTATATTTTGTTCGGACTAGATTTGATAATTTCTGCTTATACCTAGATGAAGAAGATGTATCTTTTGTACGTTCTTTCCATATAATAGTGCAGTGAGATCGTCAGTACTTTTAATATATATTCGAAATGATATTATGTTTATTAGAGGAAATTGTAATGAATTTTTGAAAATTTATTATTAAAATATTTATATTCTAGGTGATAATGGTTGGCCAGCACCTAAATTAAAAGATTCTCCAATGCTAGAAGAATCTCAAGCATTTGAACTTTATATACAACTCATTCGTTATATGAGAATTATGTTTGTTAAATGCAAATTAATTCATGCAGATTTATCAGAATTCAATCTATTACTTGATTCAAATAATAAATTATATGTTATTGATGTGTCTCAATCTGTCGAACAAACTCATCCGAATGCTCTTGAATTTCTTCGAATGGATTGTAAAAATGTAACAGATTATTTTGCTAAACGATATACACTTAAATCAGTTTTATCTATGCAACAATTATTTAATTATATTACAGATCCAACAATAAATGAATCAAATGAGCAAGCTTATCTTGATAAAATGATTGAACAAGCAATAAATGAACCATTAAATGAAACAACAGATGAAGTTGATCAACGTGTATTTCAACAAATATATATTCCACAAACATTAGACGAATTTAGTGAAACATCATCAAAAGATTTTCGTCAAGCATCAACTATATTAGGCATGAATGAAACAATGACTGGAGCACGTTTAGTACCAAAAATTCTTGAAGATGAACATGATGATTCGAGTAGTACAAGCAGTTCTTCAGATTCTGATGATAGTGATGAAAGTGATTATGCATCAGCAAATGAAGAAGCACAAGAAGGAGCAACTGCATTAGGAAATGTTAGACCACGAGATGAATCTCCAAATTCAAGACGATTAAGAAAACAAGCAGTACGAGAACAAAAACGAGAAAAAAGAAAAACAAAAATACCAAAACATGTCAAGAAAAGAGCTGAAAAACTTGGTGGAGATAAAAGAAAAAGAAAGTGATAAATTTATATTTTGTTTTTTTTCTAACAAAATAAACGTTGTTATTTAAGCATAATATAAAAATATATTCATATACTATTTTTGATATTATTTGTATAAAAAAGATAAAAATACTTAATACCAAATTCGAGTACAATAGATAATCGTATCATCAATAGGCTACCAACTATTCTGAGACAATTGAGTAAAACATAAATGATATGGGATTCGTTTGATTTACACGTAGTCATATGAGAGTTAAACGAAAACTAAATGGTATACACATTTTCGGAATATTAACTAATAAAATAAATATTTACTTATTTTTTACATATTTTCTATTAATAATTTTAAGTTATGACAAAAATTAACTAATCAATCATGATATTCAAAATAAGTTTATCTTTGAATTTTCTTATTAAATTCTGAAGAAGAATATTTCATTTATAAAAATAAGAAATATTTAAAACAAAAAAAATGATGTGTGAAGTCGAATCTTCGAACTGTTTTTGAATGTATGAAAAGTCTAATTCCTTCAGTTTGATTCATTGTTGATTATGACAAAATTCTTTGTCTCAATTATTTTAATGAAATGTATTTCTATGTGTATAAGAAAATGAGATGGTGTTCTTACTGAGATATTGTGCAGTTCTCTTTTTATCTTAAAGTAATTATTAAAGGTAAAAAATATTTAATAATCTTGCTAAATTATATGGAACTAGAGGAAGTACCCGCTGCAAGTTCTCTCTTACACAATTCTCTCTGCAAAATTCTTGTCTTACAGTTCCCGCTGCAAACTCTCTATCATACAGTTGTCGCTGTGAAATCCCTCTGATACGGTTCCCTCTGCAAAATATTTATATTTCAAGCACTTTCCGTATCCGACCGCCTCGCTACTTTTCCTTGTATATACAGAAGTGTGATTGATGGTTTGGTGACGTTAGCTATCATAGAACCACCTGGGTAAAGTTTTAATTATGCCCCCCTCCCTCGATGACTATGCCAATCCCCGTCGACCGTCCTTGCGACCTAAGGAAGCAGCATGGAAAGTTTGGTGATCATAGCTATTACAGGGACTGAATGCATAGCGAACAGAAGATGTGCGCTCAGACGGCCTTCGCTAGCTATTTCTTTTTAAACTTTTTAAAATGCTGCAATCCTATGTGTCAGTATTACAGAATGCTAGTAGCAAGTATCGGATAGCCCTGCATAGATGTAACATGTTAATTGTTGTATATGAGCGCTCAGACGGCTGCCTTCGCTATCAATGTTTTTTTGACTTTTTCAAATGCTGTATTCCTATTGGTCAGTTCTATAGATTGCCTGTAGCAAGCGTAGGATTCATTCTTTTTCGGAAAAAAGTAGATGTCGAGCTTCCCCTGGGTGTAGACAACATTTCTGGAAAGTTTCATTGTATTTGCTCGTACGGTCTTCGAATGCATTAAGAACAAACAAACAGACATTCTTCTTTATATATATAGATTACGTATATATCCATCATTTATGGAAATTCGTCGACAATACAATGCACCTAAGGTAAATTTGTTATTCATTTATATAGAATCGTTAAATTTTTCTATTGTAGGCAGATATTAACACGTGCGCATGCGTATATATACGTACACAACAAGTGATTTATACTTATTCTAGGGTTAGATGTACGTTGAATTATATATAGTTGGTTGGATACATTTTCAGTAAGAAAATTTATCTAACCAACTACATATAATTCGCTGTATATCTAGAACTCTCACGATCGAGGAGACCTCCTCCCCCCACCCAATCTTCGAAAGTTTCGTTTTCTTGCTTACCGTTTTGTATTCAGTCAAGTCTAAAACGATGCTCAAAAAAATCTAGATGTTATATTTGATGAATTGTGGACATTAATTAACGAAGATATATAAACACAATTTCGTGAAATACTTCAAAAAATATGAGAAACATATTTAATGATCTTTTTTTCTGTTCTCAAGAAACAGGATGATATTAACCATTTGAAACGTGAAATCGAAATAATGCAAGTGTCTCAAGATGAACTTTTACTAAGGATTATTAATAAATTTGTTTAAAGTTCTGGATCGGTCTTCAAGAAATTCTGTAAATATCTTGAAATCTTCGAAAAAATGCCGATAATTTGTAAAGTTTTCGAAAAATCGTTAAGAACTTAGAAAACTTTGAATGAGCCTCGAACTTTTTTTTAAATTTCTATAGTTTACAAAAAATTTTGAAAAAATTTTGACCATCATTTTATATTTTTAGAATGTATAATCCGCTGGAAGCGATGCAAAGGATGATCGATAATATCGGTCGTTCAAATTCCTCATCACAACATAATTCACGTGGTACTATACAAACACAAAATGGTTCAAGTGGTACTGTACAAGCACAAGTAACAAGAAACGACCAGAAAAAGTAAGCTTTAAAAAAATCTTTATTTTAATTAAATAAAAATAAGATAACTGTTTTACTTCGTGTTCTTTCCGTGATACTCTCTGCATCCAACAATTGAAAAGGTCACGATTATAGAGCAGTCGTCCGCCGTCACCACGACCGATGTTTCCTTCTTCAGACAAACTAGCTTATTGACGTACATATTACATGCAGGAAGGAATAATCACTCATTTTTTTTCTTATACCTTTTGAGTCTAAGTTAACAATGTGTAAACAATTATCCGTACCTCAAATTCGAGGAGTAAGTCATTTTTTAAAACATTGATAAATGCGAGAAGACAAATATATTGTTAGAGTACTAGGAAGGCGTAAAACATTCTATTCCATACTTCATCTGCCTTGTGTTTTATGTAACATTTCTTTTAGCGTTATACAATTGATCTTGGAAATGCAAACAATGATACTTTTGATCAAGGTACATATACTACAGGTAAATTTACAATAGTTTTTCAGTAAAACAAGATACTAAACAATTTCTTTAATCCAGATGTTCCAGCTCTATTCTCAGTACAAGTGGAAATATATGGAATTATTCACAATTTAATCGAAATTGTCGAACGGTGTCGACGATTAGGACGAATCTTGTTACGATCCATCTTCAATATATTTACTCGTCGTTCTTCTAATAAACTTCAAAACAAATAAAAAACATTTTTTTTAAAGCTATTCAAAATAAAGTAAAAGAAAAGAAAACAATTATTTACGTTTAAAACGTGTTAAAATGAGTGCAGATGATTCGGAACCATTAAGAGTTATTGAACTTGATGCATTTGGAGAAGTAAATTATTACTTTGTATTTTTAAATGAATATGTTTTGTAGGACTCCGATTGATAAAAGAACTTTGATAGTGAGATCCATTTGATCCACACTTAGTCATATGAGACTTAAACAAAAACTAAATATTACACACATTTTCTGAATATTAAGCAAGGAAATAAATATTTATTTATTTTTTACATATCTTCTATTAATGATTTCAAATTATGACAACAAGTAATTGATCAACTATAATATTCAAAATAAGTTTATCTTTGAGCTTTCTTATTAAATTCTGAAGAAGAATATTTCAATTATAAAAATAAGAAATATTTAAAACAAAAAAGATGATGTGTGGAGTCGAATCTTCGAACTGTTTTTGAATGTATGAAAAGCCTAATTCCTTCAATACCATGTGAACATCTTGATAGTAATTTCAAGTAACCAGCTATCCATGATATATAAATGAGGTAATATAGCGAAATGACTTTCTAATCAATTCTCTGATGTTTTAAAGGAGAAAATTGAAATAAATTAAATATCTTTTGCTTGTTTAAATATAATACACAAGATACAATGATAATGCACAGGCAGAATAATTATTATTGAGTACATTGATATATTATAAGATCGAATAAATCTATCAGAAATTGGACATCATCAAATATATTATAACATAAATTATATATTTATTTATTTCAATGATCAAACATTTTGTTTTCGTAATTGAATCAAACCAGTTTATTATGGTATACAACTATAATGATCAGTTTAATTATGATCGCATGTTTACTGAGTATGTCTTAGTATTATGATTAGATAGAAAATTATATTTATTAAAAATAAGAGAAAATATTTACCTTTAAAATAGTTCTCAAATTTTCTAATGAAAAGTAATGTATATTAGTATATAATAAATACATTCCCTTGATAGCTAATTGATTGATTTTTATTAATTATACTAATAATTCTATTGAATATACTGAATTATATTTAAAAAATTGTGTTGAAAGATATAATATAACAGAATATACTGGAAATATTTATTATTAATCATACTATTTTTCACAAAATGTTCAACTCTCAGCGGATGTAACATGAAAATATTTCGATCTAAATTTAGTTGACTGATTAATATGTCAAGTTTATAATTTGCTTTTTACTCTAACAACCACAATGGTATATTTCAAACAACAGAAAGTTATACTATGCAGGAAGAAAAACACATAATGTGACTTAAGGAAAAGAACTATATATATATATAGGTTTTACATCTACTTCAAACAGATAAATATTTTCTACGTATTATTGACGTCCTTCCTTAAGTAAGTAACCTTCATAATGACTATATGGATATACAAAAGTTCGTTTTATATTTCCAGAGAGATTTAGTAATATTATAATAATAACTATTTTAACATTAATGAGTTATTTGTCTATATTCTACTATGATTATAAGAACTGCAAAGTATTTTTCGTTAAGATATTTCAAGCGGAAACTAAATCATTTTTGATAGTATAGAAAAATATATTTATATGAGACTATTTTGCAGAAAAAATATTGATATTTATAGAATTTCCACGAAGAAAAATGAGAAGTCAATTTAGATTAATAATATATTTTTATGTTAAACATATATAAAAGAAAATTTGTCTTGTCTGATTGAATATGCGTCACTAGATTTTAGTGCACGCTAAGATAAAATTACTAATATAGCTTAATTCACTAGAGCATTTTGTATATTTAATTAATTGTTTGACATTGTTGTAATCAATGACGAAATATTTGGTTGCAACTATGTCATAGAAAACAAAATAAATAATGAGATGCAATATATTTGATTATAACAAACTAGCAACAATTGAAGGCGAGACAGAATAGATCCTTGATTATAAGCGTAAAAGAGAAAAGAACTGCAAGAAACAAATGAATCAAAAGTAAGTGAGTAGATTACAATTATTACAAGTGTTCTTACATAATAATAAAAGACAAAACAAACAAACATTTGGTCGAGACTTACATATTATTTATTATTGAAGATGTTCATTAAGAAAATTAACATGAAGATCAGCTTTATTATTATACTTAATTTAATAAAATAATGAAAAAGTCCTTCATCGTCTGACAGACAAGTACTATTATTGATCTCTGTGTAGCTGTCGTCTATCATTTAAGATAAACTAAAGAATGTTTTTATTTCTTATAGATATTTAATATTATTATCAAAACATACATTCTTATTTTATTAGATATGTTAATAAACTAACATACTTTTAAATGTTTTCTTTTCTCTACTAAAGATATATATGTGTATTCTCTCTTCAGAAAAAAAAAGAAATTATTCATCGTGAAACGTGTTTCATTCCATATTTATCTAAATAAAAAGTGAGAATATCAATAGTGATAGTTTAGATAGTCTAAATATAATTATGTTTTCTGTTATTTAAATAAATCGATATTATATTCTCGTTTCTTCTTTTTTTTCTTGTCGTTGCTTGATGATTTATATTTTGATGACATAAATATATCTCTTTGTCTTTGTCAAAATAAACGAATTATCAAAATTGACGATGACAGACAACGACATATGTGTAAGGTCAACTATTTTAACAGATATATGTTTAAACAAATAGTAGGATTAGCAATAATTTGTATAATTATCATTATATAAAAACATTGGAACAAACGATAAAAACTTATTTTTCTCTTTTCTATTTCCATAATATAAAGGAAAAAGGATTACTATTCTCTTATTTAATAACATAGTTCTATTTAAACTTTTAAGAAACATAAAATGCTTCATTAGTATAGGAAATTAATTTTTATATCAAATGTAAGTATTATTCCAGTTCAATTATCAAATACTTTTTTGTAATTCGCATCATAAAAATCATGATATTATCGAACTCATAGTTTTTACTAAACGCCTTTTTTTCAGTAAATTAGATTTCCTTATTTTTTTCTACAGCTGCATTATATCTACTTTCTAGAAATAGAAATATATGTTGGTAGGCGGATATACGTTGTTTTCAAGCTCTATTATATATCGAGAAAAAAACTGCTTAAAGATACAGAAAAAAGAAAAGAGTTATAGTAAAAATCACTGGATCATCAATGTATTCTCTCTTCTAGAAAGAAAAGCGACATAAGATAATGAATCTACTTGCTAAGAGACAAGAAGACTAATGTATATTCTTAATATGACATTGACTTATTTGAGTATGAGAAAGATAGATATTATTTCAATATTCTAATAAAATAGGATTATTTTCTACTTGAGATAATTAATGATATACAAAAATATAATAATATGTCAACATTAGCTGCTATTGAACAGTATATGTCAATTTATGGAACACTTGTTTTAACTACACTTGGCATAATTGGTAATATACTTTCTATATTAATATTTTTATCACCTCGATATCGTCGACAATCATCACATTTTTATCTTCTATGTCTTGCTTTATCTGATCTTTGTTTTCTTATTATAAATTTATTCGAAGATACATTTCGTAATCATAATCAAGTATATAAATCACATATAAATTTTCTTGATCGTAGTTCATCTCTTATTTGTATATTTGTACAATATGCAAGAAATGTTACACGTTCATTATCATCATGGATTATTGTTTCATTTACAATTGAACGTCTTTTAGTTGTATTTCATCCATTAAAACGAGCTATTATATGTCGACGTAAAATTGCACGTTTCGTTGTATGCATTCTTTTTTCATTAAGTTTTGTAAGTAATATTAATGTTCCATTTCATTATGGAATTATTACACAAGAGAATTCTACAAGAAATGATAGTATTTGTGATATAATACCAGAACATCGTCAAATCTATATGAGATTTGCTATAGCAACAATGACTACTGTCTATTTAGTACCAATGTGTATTATTGGTCTTGTTAATATGCTTATTTGTTGTAAACTTTGGAGAAAAAGTTTATTAATGGAAAATAATGAAACTAATATTATACCAAAAGAAAGGTTTACTTGAATTTCTTTTTGTCTTTTTTAAATTATTGATTATTATACTTTATTTAGACATAGAGTATTTTCTCGTCGACATTTATCTCATATTACAGAATTTTTATCATGTTTACATATATCAAGAAGATCATCAACATCATCTAGTGTAACAAAACAATCTATACATGGACGTACTTCTTCATTTAATCAATATCAATCCATTGGACCTGTAGTAAATATGGAAACAAATGCAATAAAGGTGAATTTTTTAATCGAAAAAAAAAGAAAAGAAATCAGTCATATAAATTGTTTTCAGTGTTGAAAAGTATTGTCAAATAATCCATCAGCATCTGTTGACAAGGCTGTCTCGTCTATCTGCTCTTATGGAGTAATCATGAAAGATATATGTATATTCCTTGTTTTATATTTTCTCCGTTATTGTTGACAACACAATTATTAATACATATACGTATTGAGTTAGACTTAAGAAAAAATGAGTTCTTCCCTTAAGCAAAAATTAATAGAGAAAATTAAAGTTGTATAAAATATTACGATTATTTTCTTTGTATTTTTAAATAGAAAAATGGATATTTAAGTGATGATGAAAATCGATCACAACCACTACGACCAAATTCTCTTTCAAGTCTTTCAGTAAACTATACAATTAATCCAAAACATTCTGTAACTTCAATAAAAACTTATATTCAATCACGAACACATCGTGTAACAGCAACATTATTACTTGTATCGTTTTCTTTTCTCGTATTGAATACCCCATATTGTGTTGTATGGATTGCTAATTATGCTCAAAGTTTTCGTAATGATACATTAAGATCAATTAAAGAAATAACTGAACTATTTATGTTAACTAATTTTTGTATTAATTTTCTATTATATTGTGTTAGTGGAAAAGTATTTCGTGGTGAACTTATCTGTTTACTTCGTTGTCGATGGAGAGAATTATATGATAGAAATGAAACTGAACGTATGGCTCGAAGAAGATCACGTCCAAGAAATGAAATACAATTAAATGAACCAAAATTAAAAACACGATCTCTTTCTATTAATCCAAATGATCAACTAAATCGTCCATCCGTATCTAGTATATATACAAGTAGAGTTCCAAGTACATAATTAATTATCTGAAATTATAAAAATAATAAAACATATACATTATATCAACGTGTATTTATGCTACTTAATCATAGTTATTATATTTGTGTGTATATGTAAAGCTTCTTTTTTTTTAAATAATCAAAAACTTGTTAAATCAGTTATATTAGTTTGTATATTTCAATTGAATAGTTTTCTTATAAATTATATTTTCAATACGTTTTAATACTTGATCATAGACAGAGCCAAGAAGTTTTCTTTTTTTAATCTAATTTTTTAAATGAATTAATCAGCTTATACAATCAAAAGATAAGTTTTTAATTAAAAATTGAGATAAATACAGTTAATGACAATCATTAGAATGAAAAATACATTTGCTAAATATTTTTCGATGAAATGAAATTTCAACAATGTGATAATATTTATCAAATGAGATACTTTGTAGTCTAATTGAATGTTTATGCAATATTTTAGCATCGATGTTATTTTACAAGATAAATTCAATTATGACTAATTATTCTATTTTTTATAATTTGAAATATAGATAGAAAATAATTAACGAATATTAATTTTTGATGGTTGTGCAATATAATATCCACAAAATAATTTCCATGGTGATACATTAGATACTGATGGATTACTAATTAATGAACCTGTATTATCTTTATTTGTAACAGCTCCAGCTAAATAAAATAAATCAATTAAAAACATACATTTATTTTATTCAACTTACTTCCTGGTTTATGAGACCAAAAACCAGTTGCATCCTGAAAAAGAAAAA